GCAAAGCTACTCTGAGATAAGCTTGGAAATAAATGTTCATTAACACCTTCTCTGCATGCACATATGTGTTTAAATGCATGCTCAGGTCAGGATATTTTGGGGAGCCTTAAAATAAGGTCTTATTACTAAACCACAAAAAATCGTCCCACTCTTTAAGCCTAGCAAACTCTTCGAGCCTGGTGAACTCTTCACCAAAATGCCACTGCAGACAGCAGGGATCTGAAGTCTCTCATATGTCTGCTGACTCTTCTGATTTCTGCCACGACCCCAGATTAATGGAAACAACCACTGGCAAAGTTAAGGGAGCAGTGAACATTTCAAAAGGCTAATAAGGATGGTCAGGAAGGAAGGTGAGAATGTACCTCTGTGATGAATGCCTTCCTCTTCTCCCCCCAGGCTGGTAAGGAGAGGAGCACAGCATAATTTTTGAGGATTATCTCAACTTTAATAACAGCTTTGCAGCTTGTGTTCAAATAGTCTGATTCTAACCTTGATGACATCAATTTCCCCCAGAGTGACTGTATCAAACTCAAGAATGTTACTCCTGATTTAAACCAGTGTGGATAAAGGGAAAATCAGGCTTTTTAGTTCAGAAGACAGCATGTGGCAGCAGAGTAAATGTTCCAAAGGGAATCTGAAAATCCCCCAAATTAGAATTATCTGTATCTCAATCAATGTTTTTACAGCTCATTTATAACGCCTTAATCCCAGGGAACAATAATTTTGCTTCAGCCTCCTCTTCTTCCTTCCCCTACACACGGCTCTGAAATGAACTAGAGGCCAAATTCTGCACTGACTCATGTTCCCTGCAAAGCCCAATGATTTCACATACAGCCTATAACAGGCACAAATCACAGCAGACAGGCACTCCCAAAGCCTCTGATGCAGTCTTTTTTGCCTTTCCTGGCTTCAGCTCATGATCTGCTTACACCACACTTTCAATACCCAGCGAGGGAAGGAGGACGTGAAGCATACTTGGTTCCTAAAGGAGAGGTGTCGGACGGGGTCCTCAGCTGCCAGGGAGATGCTGCTGAGCAAGATGAAAAATAGGATCAGGTTGGTGAAAATGTTATCGTTAACGATTCGATGGCAGTGGACACGAAACCTGCAAGAGAAAGGAGAGGCACAGCTTTATCTCTCAAAGAACTGCAAGACTTGGGAAACATTCCCCCACCACCTCCTCTTTTGCCGGCAGGACTGGCGCTAGAGGATTGCTCTGCAGAGCACCTTCCCTCTGCCCCAGCAGCAGAGAGAACGATGGGCCCAGGCAGCTGTGCTGGGCGCTGGGCAGCCTTGGCTCTCCACATCATGCAGGACTCACGCTCGGTGCGTTTGAATGGAGAACAGTCACTCCCTCCTGACAGAGCCTTTTGTGATTTCCATGTGGTCTGAAACCTGCCAACCCAAAATTATACCCCTCGCTTTCATTCACAGAACCATTCCTCATTCATCTGGGAGGAAAGCAGCAGAAACAGGCTTGGGGGTGCCAGTGTCTTTCTGAGCTGGGGCTGGAGTGTCACTTAACAGGAGCTATGGGGGATCTACCTTGCCAACAGCGTAGAGGCCTGGCCAAATGGATATAGGGGAGGCTGGCACTTGCAAATGGCTTCTGAGAGGACAGCATGCCATGCAGACCTGGTGCTCTTAGTGGGAAACTAGCAGGTAAAGAAGGAGCCCATCAAATGGCAGCTTGCTTATTGGAGACCATTACAGCCCTTTCCATACGTTGGTATCAGGACATGAGGAGTTAAACCTCACAACAGCCCTGTGCATAATTCTAGAGGCACTTCATTAATCTATTTAGTTCTACTCTTGGCTGTTAAGTCTCCTAGTCCCTATTATAGTAATTTTACAGATGATTGCAGAGGTTAATTTACTTCTTCTACAAACGACAGTGGGTGGGTGGCAAAGCTGGCATTAGAGTCCATGAGTCCCAATCATCCTCAGTCACTCCCTGTTACACATACTCAAGGAGGAGTAGCACAAGCTCTGTTGTGGAAAAACTAGCTCTGAATTCAACAGTGCTTTCACAGCCCTGTCTTGCTCTGAGGCTGTGTCTGGAGGCTGAGCCCTCAAGAGAGATACTGAGATACATGATACTGCACAGACCAGTGGGCAGTGAGCTCATTTCCATGCCCTTGGAAAGACAAATTCCCCTGTGCCATAACAACCCTCCATTCACAGTACTAGGCTTGCACACCTATTTTGGAAAGACAGGTGGCACAACGTGAAGCTGCATTGCAGGAGCCCATGGGAAAAGTATGAGCGAAGAATTGTTCTCCGCAGACTCCTCTCTCTCAGGAGAGCTATGGACTCTCCTCCTCCTCCTCCTTCTCCTCCCATTTTTAGTTTTATGCTCATTCTTGATGTGCAGCAATGAGCAGAGACACATGAACTGTGTACTGGGAGTGGATTTTGAGCAGCCCTTAGGACAGGAAGCTCCTACCTCACACTTGATTGATTGCATAATGGCTCTCTTGCAATTTGGACCTGAATATGTAGGGAAATTCCGATTACTGACTTGCCTCCAAGTCCCTTATTTCTGAAGCTTTCATGATTTGTGTCTTCAGCCAGCTTTGCAGGTGCCATGAGCTCCCACTGAATATCGTCAGGGGGATCCCTACAGTTGTACTCTCATGAGGATTTCATGCCAGGGCCTTTAAACGAGAGAGGGGTCAAAGGAGGTCTCTGGTATGAACTGCTGAATGGGAGCTCTGCACTTCATAACCTTTTGGGCTCAACATGAAAGGGGTACCTGCTCTTTTCCTCCTTCTTCCACATAAGCAGTCTCTTAAATACCTGTTGTTAGGACTGAAGATGAAAAAAGCACTGGCATCAGGCATGGGCACAGCCTTTTCCTTGAGGTGCAGCTCAGACATTGGGCGAGGCCGAGGGCCGACAGGCATCTCAGGTTCTTCCTCATCTTCCTCTGCTGCAAGAAGCATTTTTGGTTTTTAATGCAAAATATAACCCATTCTGCAGTGCTGGGGCATCTGTCTCTGTCATAACTAGAGCTAAAAGCTAAGAATCATTGAAATAGGATGCTAAAACTTGAGGTTCCTTCCTTCCCCCAAGGCAGCATTGTTGCCCAGTGCTTTCCCTGGCAAACACTGATCTAGTCTCTCTGTAAAACCATTAATGCTGGTAAACCCACAATATTCTCACAACACTCTCCTTAGATACTTCACTGTCCCTTCTGTAAAAAAAAAAAAAAAAAAAAAAAAAGCTTCTAATGACTCACTTGTACCTTTCTTGCTATGGTCTAAATCCAGTATCTGCTTTCTTATTTTCCACCAACACAGAAAATTGTGAATTGCCTTCTTCTTGCAGAAGGCTTTTACATACTCGAGGACAATTAATATGCCTCTGTGAGAATATCTTATTCCTAGAGCAAAACAGCAACAGTCTTTCCTGAGGTGCTGTGTTCCCCAGGTCTCCGATCACTCTTACTGCTTTCTTCCAGATTATGTGCAGGATTAACCTGCAGTTGAGGTTTTACTGGTGCAGGAGAGTTGTATTACTTAATATGCCTTATAGTAGCTTCCTGCTTAAATGTCCTTCATGGGCACTTTTCATTACACTCTGGCATTAATTTGCCATCAGTTTCTGATATGCACAAAGTACAGATTATTTATCACAGAACAACTGTCTAGCCTGTCACTCCCTCCCTGCATTTCTGCCGCTGACTATTCCCAAGAGTGGCACTTGGATCTCATCCTTATTGAACTGCATCTTTTTCTCTTCAGGCTGTTCCTCCAGTTTATCAAGATCTGTTTTTCTCCTGTTTGTGAGGATCTCCATGGAGCCACGGCCACATCTGGGATCATATGTGGATGACTGCATCCCTGAGCAAACATCGAGCATGGGCACATTGACTGACACCGATCAGAAGGTCTTAAAATTGTCCTCTTTCATAATTTAGTGGGGAGAAGATTAAAAAGGTGGGAAAGAGGCTGAGACTGCTGAGAGTCTCGAATCTGATGCCTATGGAGCAGATCTCCAGGCTCCATGCTGAAAAATGAGCAATCTCAGGATAAAAAATGCAGAGTGGGGGTCTAAGGGTTATGTGAAAGAGAAGCTTCCACCTTTGAGGATTCCTTCTACCTGCTGAAGTCAGATGTTGTTTTGTAAACAACATGATGGGGTTTTGCTATTTTAAAAGATCCCAATCCTCTTGCTTAATCAGCAAGACAGAAAAAAATACTTTCAGAAAGGAGTCTGACAGGTTAATCTGCCAGGCAATGCAAAGAAGGAAACTCGAGTTAAAAGGTTCAGCCCGAGTTCATAAAGGGAGATAAATTCCAGGAAGAGATTGTTCCTTCAGGGTGAGGTACTTGATCTGGTTACAGGACACATCAGAAAGAACAGATGAATCAGCACAGATCCTAATCTAGATATCAGAGACAGGAGAAAAGTGCCCTTTTTGAATGCATGCCATTATTACATGCAAATAGGATTCTTTCTTTACACTTACAGTACCAAGAGTTCAACTCAAATTCACTTGATAGATCTTTGCATAAATGTTTGAGCTGGTACATAGAGTTTGTACTTTTTCAGTTAGTCTATTTTTTAACAGCTCAATTAATGTGTAATGTACTTTGTAATATTCCTTATACAGGCTTTATTAGTTAAAGAAACATTCTTTTACAAGTACTTTTTTACATAGTACTTCTAAAATAGGTGTTAATGTTAATGCTTATATTTATATAAGATTCCATACTTTGCAATTGTACCTTTTACCTACAGGTTTCAGAGCAGACTGACAATGAGTGATGTAAGAAAATTCTTTTTCTTCTTTAACAGGCCAGAAAACGACGGCCCATGTGGGATATTTGCGATTCTTCCTTAAAAAGACTAGTATTCTGAGTCCCTGTTCTGCACCTTCACTATTAGATTATTCTACTTCTTTTACTCAGAGGAATGCTTAAAATACACTTTTAAATGGGTATGGAACAATGCCTCAGGAAAATGGACCCTCAGCAAACAGATCAGCCCCACAAAGACCGTAAAGAACACTGCTCCTCTCCTCTTTTTCTCCTATTTGCCATACAGCAAGGAATATATTAATGATTCTGGCAACCACATCCCTTCAGACTGAAAAACACATTCAGTTCCTCAGCCATAGATAAAGAATAATGTTCTAAATATCTTTCACTTAGAGTAGAGTCTAGGGCACCAAAGAAAGGAAAGAGCGAGGCCCCAGTTCGCAAAGAAGAACATGAGAACAACCTCAGGTCAGTTCTAACGTATCTACCTGCATATAGAACCAGCACAGCTGCTCACATTTGTAGAAGCAAATGTTCTTTGGCTGTGAAGACAAGCACAAATAGGCTACAATGCAGCATTAGTGAGACATTTGATGATGGGGATATTTTTTTTTTACTATACAAAGACCAGACTCTTGTATAAGGACACTGCTTTGCTTCAAGCTCCCATGAATCATCCCCAAGCTTTTACCTTCATTTGACATCCCGAATTCTTTGTCTATTTCTGTACTAGACTGCAAGACTAGCTCCCTGTCTTCCTATAATAAACATATCATCATAATAATTCTTCTAGTGTACACAAATCTCTGGGAGAACTAGTCTGTCCTTTCAAAAAAAAGGGGCTAGGTGATCCAAGGAGCTGCAAGCACACAGGGTACTCTGGGGCCTGTGAGCAGCACTGTGTAGCAAATAGAGTCAGAGGAGGTTATTGAGAAAGTTGGTTGAGAAGTGGAAACAAATTAGAGCCCAAACAAGGTAGACTGAAAGAATAAAGAAAAAAAAAAATAAAATTAGGTGACCATTTCAAATTGTTTCCGAACACTGGATTAGGGCAAGGGATCTTTTCAGAGGATGGAATGGTGCACAGCCATGGAAGGGTCACAGGCACTAACAGCTTAAATCATAAAGAGAAAATAGGTAGAACCAGCTGACTGCATCTAAGAAAACAACAGGATGCTTCACTTAAAGCACAGCTGAAAATGGATCCATGTGCAAGTGGGCAGGAAAAGGTGTGTTCCCAGATGGGCTGTATATGGCTGCACAGCATCTCCTGAACCACAGCTGGACTGATCAGCAATCAGCAGAAGGATTCTGGACTGGTCAAATGGCCACAAGGGAACCGGACAAGAATACACACGGGGATTGGGAAATTCTTGCTTGCTAGTGCCGGGGAAAGCCTTGAAGTTTTTTCTGCAGAAGCAGCTACAAAAGGCAGAGGTGACAGATCATATCAGCTCTGAGAGTACCCTGGTGTTTCTGAGCTTTATACAGCAGAATGGAACAGATGACTATGGTAAATCTGACCTAATGAGGGATTTACAAAACTTTACTGGCATCTGAGCCTTGTGGTTGCCTTCCATGAAGTCTGAAAGAAGTGGTCAGGTAATTTTGTGAGCTGTTGAAGAACAGCTTCACTCTTCACAAAGAATTGACAAACAATTCAGGGAACAGGCCTATTTAGAAATGGCATCATACAATGGCAAATAACCAAGATGGGGTCCCTTTGCATTTCTAACAGGAAACAGGAGAAAACCTGATCATCCATTCAAATTTTAGGTTGTGTTAAAAAGTATATTAAGCCAGGGATTGGCACCCCAAGACAGGAGTTAAAAGTGTTTTCACTTAATTTTCCACACTTTAATTCTATGCATGGCTGAATGACAAAAAATGTAGATGTAGTTTTTATCATATATTTCATATGCTGGACTATTTCTAAGCTACCCACAGAAAGCAACTAAACTCCAATTCTATTATCAGTAGACTTAAAATCGATACAAGTGACTGTTGCTTCACTTGAAAAAAATGTAATGGCCTGCAATCCAACCCAGCTGAGGAACTGAAACAGAACTGTATCAAGCTGTTTTAATTTGTCCTCCTAACTAAAGACTCCTGCAAACGCCTTAGTAACTGGGGATGTGTGTCCAGTAAGTGTCTGTGCCTACAGAGGCGATGGGAAGATTAAAGCCAGAGGCATCTGCCCCAGGCAATGTTAAAACAGTATTGCACAGAGTTGGAACCACATTCTATTCCTGATAAATTGGCTATAAATATGGAAGAATACAAGTATAGCAAACGTGGAGACTTTTTGTACTGAAAGTAAAATGCAATGAACGGTTTTCCATTTTGCTTGTCTAAAACCCTTGTCCATCTACTTAAAATGAACTATTGTGTTATTTTTTACCCTATCACATCAACCTATTATCAGACATTTATTTATTAGGAATCATGGAATAGCAGAGAATGTGTTTCATAACCTCTTATAGCCTGTTACATAATCATAGAAACACGTAAGAGCAGAGCAGGAAAGGACCACAAAAGGCCTTCTGGTTCATGCCTCTGCCAGGCCAGGATCAATTAATTATTATATCTAAGCCTTTTCTGGAAGACATTTTTCTGACCTGTTCCTAACAGCATTCAGTGATGCTGGAATTCCACAACCATCTCTGTGATCTTTTCTAGCCTCACCATTAGAAAATTCTCTCTGGTGTGAATCTTAAATGTATTATTTGATAATAGAGATAATTCCCCTCCTACCTGTAGCAGGTTTTTTATGCATTTGAAGGTGTTTCTCCTGCCTTTCCTAACTCAGATTATCACAGTTCATTCAATCTTAGTTCTTGCCTCCTACTAGCATTGTTTTCATCATTCTCTTCTATACTTTTTCCAATTCAGCCCCACTTCTCCCAAGCAGAGCATCCAAAATGAGATATGATATTCCAGCAGAGAACACAATAAAACAATTGCTTTGCTCTGATTAGCTTTCACTGACCACTGAAAAGAAGCCCATAACTGCATAGACAGGTCTTCTTTTCTCTGTTTATAAATCTCACTACTTGCATGCCTTTTGAAAGACAGCAAACTGTTGCTGGCACCTGTCGAGCTTCTGATCATGAGATTCAGATTCTTTTCTCAAGGACTGTTACCTAACTAGCTGTGACCTCAGATCCTTTATTTGTGAATTGTTTATTCCTGTCTACGTGTAGAGCCTGGCACTTTCAATTTTATTTAGACCATTTATCCAGGACCTCAGGAGCTCTTTGAATTCTAATGCTGCCCTCCAGCATGCTTCATGTCCTTCCTAGCTTCATGTCATCTACAAATGTAATAAGCATATTGCCTCTTCCATCATTCAGGTCATTAACAATGAACTGAACTGAACTCTAGACAGGCTTTTGGGTTGTAGAAACTCACTTTGGTTGTCAATACCCTCCACATAAAGGGTGGGATCAATTTCTCTCGCAATCATCCAGACCATAATTTTCTAGCCAGCTTATGAGAACGCTGTAAGACTTGGTCAAAAGCCTTAGCAAAGTAAAAGAATACGAAACCTACTTCTTTTCTCCTGAGCACAAGTATTTTCAGCCCCTTCTAGAAGAAAATCAGAGTGGCTTGATGTGATTTGCTCTTGGTAAATCTGTCATCTCCTTATCTTGCAGTCATATAGTTTGTTTAATCATTTTTTCAAGTACTTTTCCAAGAATGGAAGTTGAACTGACCAGCTCCAACCCCACCCCCCATTTGGGATCTCTTGAAGAAAAACTGGTCAAAGTTCTGAGATTTCTTCAACCGATTTTTCAGGTATGTGAGAATGATGTTAATTAGGCTCAACTGACTTGAAAATCAGCCTAACTAATACTATAGTTTGATTCCTCCCATTCTATGCTGAGATCTTATGCCTTTAGAGAGTTATTAAAATGTCACACTGTCCTTTTTGACTAGAAAACAGCACAAAAAGGCATTCAACACTTTCCCTTTTATGACTATCTGTTGTGAGTCTCCCTGACCATCGAGTACTGAGAAACATCCTGAAAACAAAGTCATATGTATGTTTTCAAATGGAAAGATTTTTATATGATTTGATTTGGTTCTCTGCAAAGCTCCACCTTTCCCAATAAAGAGCTTTACAGAGAACCAAATGAAAGATGACCAATCAGTACAGGGACTGCAAAGGGCCAAGTCCACACCTTTGCAAACACAGGCAAGCACATCACTCTGTCCCATCATGAAAGCATTACATGTTCAGCACGCCTGCTACCACAATATGGCTTTATGTGCTTTGGCAACTGGAGCTTCTCTTTGTCAAATCAGGGATAAGAGGAAGAAGATGGATACCTGGTGCTTCTGTTGTAGGATATGGGCTCTTTTCTTCGTTTTCATTGGGCTGATAGTCATCCACATTGATCTGACAGAAATAGAAAGGAGAAGCATCAAAGCCTTTATCAGACAAGGCAGACAGTTTTCATTCCCTCAAAAACCAAAGCTGCTCATGCCATCACTGCACAGAGTACGCCTGGCTGGCAGCAGACCTTACCTTGGTAGCAGGTGGGGATTCTCCATCAGCAGTGATCGATTTCAGCTCAATTTTCTCCTCCTTTGTCTCTTCCTCCACAGCTGTTTTTTCCATCTCCTGTTTCTTTTCAGGACTAGCAGTTCTAACAATTTCACAAGATAAAAAGCAAAGAGTTACAAAGGTGAAAAGTTTTCCCTTTTAGGGACTTCATGTAATACAGCACACACCATGAAAACAATCAGCTGGCATCTCCATTCTGAGCCCAGCTTACTGGTGGCTCCACCTTGTCCTCATCTGCAGGCCAAGGCAGAGACTCTACTCTAATTCTGAATAGTGTCCTTTATTTTGTAGCTTTCTCAACGACCTATGTTTGTGTTTGTGTGTATGTGTGCACGCGAGGGAAGTACGTGCCATGTGTTTGTGCATGTGCATATTCCAGGTCTGTCAGCAGAGATCTCTTTGTTCCCCCAATGACAAGGGCATGGACCACTTTCATCCCATATCTTCCCCTCGGATGCCTACAAAGGTCTTGCCCCTCACTGCACTCCCAGAGGGAGGGAAATCTGCTGAGTAGCCTGCAGGATGAAGCAGAAAGATCTGCACAAGAGATCCTCTCCAAGACAGTGAATGGAAATAACCAGTAAGGAGAGGCTTTCCTGCTGCTGGCAGCTGGGAATGACAGAGAAGCTCCACATCCAGCTCGTGCCTCTTAAGTGTCTGTGGAAACACTAAAAGAACTGGCAAGAGAAGAGCAGCACGTGGCATCAAAAGAAAAGGAAGCTGCTGAATCTTTTCGTGGGAATGACAGCCTGAAAATACGCTTTGTGGCCCAAAGCAATTGGAAGATAATAGGGAGATTCAAATGCGATTGTAACATTGACACCATTTCACACTCATTCTCTGCTGATGCTCTGAAAGCTCATCAGTCACCCAGACTTCCCTTCCCCTGCTCACATCAATGCAGCTGTGGGGACTCCCAGCTCATGGCACTTTCTTGTCTCACAGTTTGAATTCCTTTGCATAAAAATTTATGTATCCATAATTCCATATGTAACTACATTAACCACATATATATAACCTATCTACACACAGAAAAGATAAACATACATATTACTTATACTCACATGTATGTATATATGCATCATATACCTATGCATATGTATCATGTGTAATTACACTCACAGGAATATATGCATATGAGTGCAGATATGCAAATGGATTTACCTTGCTAGCTTTTTCCTTTCTTTTTCTTCTTCCTCCTCTTTCTGTGCAGATGTTAAACTCTCAGCATCAGCAAGGTTGTCCACAGCAATGGCCAAAAATACATTCAGCAGGATATCTGTTTGTGTGCTACTTAAAGAAAACTGGCTTTGAAAACTGCAAGAACAGATTATACCAAGGGTTTCTTAATTGAAAGTTTTTAGCAACCTGTCATCATGTGCCTTGGATTTTCCAAACTTCCATTTCGCACAACTGCTCAGGATGTGCATATCCAGCATGCACAAACCTACACCTTCCATCCACATAGTGAACACACTGTGGGTTTCCAAAATTTCACAACAGAATGACTGATATAAAGCATCTAAGTCCAGGCTTATATTTTAGTTTCCAACTTCCCAAAAGAGTATCACTTTGTGCAACAAATCCCACAGAAGAGAAGGGAAGCACTAAATGCTTTGCATCTTTGACAGTTTAGGTCACATGAGTGGATTTTATGGACAGCAATCAGCACTCTGATGAGCATTTCTGAGGTTAATTTAGTCTGGACAGTGAAGAGTTGAGCTGATAACTCTGCCATCTCCTAGCAGAGAGCCCATGCATGGCCAGTCATGCCCATGTAGCTCAAGGGCAAGGAATTACAACAGTTTTCTTGTGTTATCAGTCAGTGTTCAGGTCTTGTGTTACAAATCTGAACATAAGCCTGTTTTATAAATGTCTTGAGCTTAGGTCTTGTTACACCATGATAACTTTTAAGCAAACTTGGTTCAAGACTCAGCTTGGAAATACAGACACCCCCCTCCCTGGACTCCAAGGTCTAATGGCTACAAAGTCAGCCAGCATGTAGACTTGGCTCACATTTTCACAAGGAGATCCAAATTGTAGCTTTTTTTTTTTTTAAGCTGTCAGGCAGATTGCCTACCTTGACCTTCAGATAAGTGGAATTGCACCATCTCACTTTGAAGTGAGGGCATGCAGGTCAACTGAAATGTCAAATAACAGGGTTTGAGAGATCTGAATTATGAGCAAAGGCCAGAAGAGTTGGGCTGAGTCCACAAGGTGGCTTTATAGAAGCATCAGTATAAAAGGAAATGTCACCTCTGACACAGGAGGGCCATTTATTAGGGAAGCAGAAACTAAACATGGACAAATTTGGAGCAAACTGAGATATGGAACAGAACCACAGCTCCACGTTATATGCAAATTGCTGTGAAAAGACACTCAGAGCCTAATCATGCAATGTGCTTTGTACCTCTTTGGATATGCACAGTGCCCTCAGCTCACCTTGAAGCCAGAGAGAACTAAAGTTACTTAAGACCAGCAGAGGCTGGAAGATAACAGAGCACAGGATTTTCTGTTTGAAGAACACACAGTTTGCAGTAACTGAAATGGAACATGGGTCCTGTTAGTTTATGCATGAATTAATGTATGATCTCACATAAATCATGTCAAACATATGTTACTCCTATTACAGCATTTGTATATAGCATACTGTAGATTATACATATTTTTATTCCACATAAGGCTTGGATGAAAGCACATGGAATATATTGCTAAAAAAGCAATTGAAGCAAAAAATATGCAGTAAGTACAGTAGGAACACACATAGATTAGTTTCTGCAGAAGTCAGGAAAGAAAACCTATGAGAGAATTAAAGGGAATGAAAAATAAAAACACTAAACGTGAAAATACGTAATAAAAGCTAGCATGTGGAACTGGCACGTAGCTGGCTCTTACAACTGTCTCTATGCCTTAGCACTGGCTAAAATTAAACAAACTTGTTTAACTTTAGGCAGTGTAAAGCCAAAATTCAGACCTAGAGAAAAGGTAAAAATGTGAGATATGAAACTGGTTATTTTCTGACATGACAAAGTAAATGGTGGCTTTAAATTCAGTCCCTCCTGCAGAAAAGAGCAGCATCAAAGGATACAGTTTCCACAGATGAAGAGGATGATGAAGTAAATACAGACCAACATTCCTGGAAAAGAGGGGCCGCCATAAGCCATGATCCCATCATACATCACCGAATTCCAGTCCTCCCCAGTCAGGATCTAAATGACACATTCCCACCAATAAGGGATACAGTGTTAGACCATACAGAGAATTTGAAAACCCCATTAACACAAAGATATCTACTGTCCTAAAGAGCACCCCCTCCCCCAGGATGGTTGGAGATTCTGGCTGTGTCCATCTAGAAAATTAAAGAAAAAACAAACAACAAACCACAAAACAAGGAAAACGCAAAGAAGGCCTGCGCTCAAAGTGTGAAAAAACCCAAACAGATGTCCCCTTGAAGATGATGGTTGAAGGCAAACAGCTCTCCCACACAACTCTGTCCAAGTCTTCCCACTTTTTCCAGGCATTTCCCTCCCACGTGTCTGTTGTTTCAGATAGGCTGCACAACCTGTAGCACTGCCCTCAGTACAGCATTCCCTTGCCACTTCCCTTCATTTTGCATGTGAATGAAATAACAATCCTGATGCTATTAATGGATCACTCCCAAAACTGCAGCCGGTTTAAGGGCCATTTCATTACTTCTGTGGTGCTGTGAGCAGATTTTTGTTCCCCAGTAAGGTGGAGGGGGCAGGACAGTGGCAGGGTTGGGCTTTGGCTTGCTGCCCTGGGACATGACAATGGCTCTTCTCTCGTCCTACCCTGTTAAGATGTGGTGGCCTTGGAACACACAGAGGTTTTATCTTTGCTTCCCCACTTTGGGAGGGGATACCCTGTGCTGGCAGCACAGTTTGGCACCTTGCTCCTGGAGCTGTTGATGTGCTGTCCAGTCTCAGGGACTGTCAGGCTGCAGGGGAAGGGTCTCACCCCACATAAACACAAAGCATTGGCCCCACTGGGACCACTCGTGCCCTTACCTGAAACACTGTGAGGAGGGACTGAGGGAAGTTGTCAAATGTACTCCTCCTGGTCTGCATCTCATCAAAGTTAAACTTGCCCCCAAAGAGCTGCATCCCCAGGAGTGAGAAGATGATAATGAAGAGGAAGAGAAGCAGCAACAAGGAGGCAATGGAGCGAACTGAGTTCAGGAGGGAAGCCACGAGGTTACTCAGGGAGTTCCAATATCTAGGAGAGAAAATAAAAGCAGTTAAAATTCCCTCAGTCTGAGACAGGTGCTCATGGACTGTACAGGATATTGGTTCAGGCTGCCTTCTGCATATAAGCAGGCATTTCCAAACACCCTGTTAAGCAGTGAATCATTGATGTGCTTCCCTAAGATAATGAGACTTACTGCAGCTAATGAGTAATTTTACTACCACACGTGTACATACCCAATTCCCTCCACCCCCCACTCCACGCACACACCCAGAAGATTATTACAGCACTCTCCATCTCAGGCTCTGCACATCTTATATCAATACACAGTGATTAGTTCTTGCTGCTTCAGTGAGTTACATTCTAACCAACCTCATTACAACACTCGCAGATGTTATGGCAGCCAGAATACCTCACTCCAGAGAACGGCCTGCAATAACCAAAAAGAACAGATGGGGAAACAACTCTTTGGATGCAAATACGAATTTGCCCAAAATCTGGTATGTGTGAGTATGTCCTTGGGCTCACTCATGCAGAGAAGTTGTTGAGCTTTCTGGGATTGAGAGAAATGAGAAAGACATTGATTTTCTGTAGACCCTAAAAGAGACTCCAGATCTACATCCCTTTGGAAGGGCATACCGTTCACTGCTTTTCTTCGGGTATCAAACCTACTATCCTTCCTCAAATAGGCTGCAGAACATTTTGAAAGCTCTTCATTCAAGAGACAGGATGGCTAAGAACCGTTCTCTCAGTGTATTCAGGCTTGTGCCCAGTTCAGTCATGTATGATGCAGAGAAAGGATCTTCTTGCCCTTCTGGTTCCACTTCAGGGTTCAAAGAGATGCCAGCAGCATGATTGCTGCAGCATGTAAGTTTGCTTGCATTCTTTGCCAGCCTGCAGGGGAGTCACGGGTTGGAAACAGGCTTTAGAAAAAATTTCTAAATTTTTTGCCCATGAAGTGATTTCCACTTTGGACTTGCATCTGCTCAACCACTCCTATTCTACTGCTTAGCTGGTCATGGCCTCTTCTCTTTTATGTTTTTAGTCTGGCAGAGCTTTCAGACTGGGCTGAAGATTAGCTGTCATCTTCGAATTGCCTCATTTCACTGCACATTACTAGCAAGCTTCAACAGCTTTCACAGGTCAGCAAGCCAGCAGTGCTTGCCTGTGATCTCTGTGTCTTCCTTCTACCTCGCCTACCACCACACTTCGAGATTCCACCATGGCCAAATGTCCTCCAGTCCCTTCTCCCAGAGCCTGAACACTTCTTTACTGAGAAGACTCTGCATTTCTCACCATACTGACCTTGAAGAAAGAGTTCCATGTAAGAAGGATGGCAGATGTCTAGTGCTCTGGCACTTTTGAGAAAGCCTGATCCTTCAATATGCAATTTTTTTCTGAAGGTAATATACCCATTAGAGACAAGGGTTCTTAAAATCCCAGTTAAATTAATATTTTTAAAGTGACAGTGTAAAAAAATTAGTTTTCTTGTCCCATGGAAGACACGACTGCCTGAGCAGCCCTATCACTTTATGAAGGTTAGCAATCTGATCTGCAGAGGAACACTGCCATGTCCTCTGAAGTTTAGCAACTGGTTCATCTCCAAGGACTGAGCTTCAAAGAGAACTGTGATGTTTTCCCTCCAGCCCAGCTTCAGCACTTCAGAGAAAACTAGAGTGCTTTAAACTGCAATTAAAGAGACGAGCAATGAAAAACTACAGAGCAAAGGTAAGGGCGTGGAAGCTCTTGGGTTCAGCGCCACCAAATATCTGCACGCAATGTGCAATGTAACAGCTCCCTGTGTTTGCATTTATGCTTACAGCTCACATACTATCACACTTCAGAAAGAAGGGAAAGTGACATGGGAAAAGGGAAAAATTAATTTCTGATGGAAGTCGAATGAATTCAGCATCCTTAAAGCAGAAGTTGATGGGCTCCAGGATATTTCTCCAAGCCCTGCAATGTCAGCCAGGACACACATTTTCTAGGTCCTTCTAGCAGGGCCCCTAAGGAGCATGCAGGAAAGCTGTTACACATCTGATCAGTCCCAGTGACTTACTTTAAGCTTAAATGCCTTGTAATCTCAGCAAACAACTGTGCAGACTTCTATCAGCCCTCTATTTCTTAAAAGTTGCTCAATATCTGAGATTAAGATTCTAATGTGACTATCAAACTTAAAGCAATTAACTGAGATGGCCTGGTGATAAGTTTAGTGCTGTTTTGTCTGTGTACTCAGTGCTAGCTAGAAATACAGCACCATTAGAAAAGCAAATAAATCATTTGGGTGGGGGGGGGTTGGGAAGAGAGAAAGAAAAAAGAAAAAGGAGAGGATAAGGAAGGTTTGACTTGACTAAGATGTGAAAATAACAACTGCCTTATCTCAGGGTCCTAAAAGCCTGACCTAGAAGTCTGACCTGAGGTTACCATCTGTGACATTAGCAGACATTAGGTTGTTGCAGAACTAACATGATCACTCCCTCAAAATGAGATCTGGGATTACTCAATGAAACACAAGGTTTTTAAGTCAGCAATGGCTGAAGCCCAGACAAAGAAAAGTCTCTCAATACTTCATTCTCCCTGGTTAATAACTTATTGCAAAGGAAAAACGCAGCACTGCTGAATGGAATTGGAAGTTTTGGACCAGGCAGTGTATAATCGGAAATATGACAGAGAGCACTGCTGCTGCCTCAGACTTTTAGGGAAATGAATGTGCTTCTTAACAGCCCCCCCACTTGCAGAGCTCAGACCCTTGAGGATGCCAGTGAATGGGGCACTGCAAAACACCAGTGAGCAGAATGTGATTATGATCCCTGTTTCAAAGTGGGGGAACGATGCAGAGATGTTAAATGGCTTGTTCAACACCTCACACAAAAATCAATTGCAGAAATGGATTAGAATTTAACATGTTCTTCTATTCTCTTCCCTCTCCTCTCTCTCTCCATTGCCTTCCACAATGTCAATGATACTGGCAATCACAGATGCAGAGCTTAAAACAGCAGCAACAGCTGGCAGTCTCATAGTAGGAAAGTTTCCCACACTGTTCCTCCAATATAAAACTACTTTGAAAGCAGGTACAAAAAAAAGGCACCCTGTCTCTCCTCCCTGCAGTTAACACTGACATATCTGGTGGTAGGATTAGGTATAAACCATCAACTTTCTGTATGCTGTTGCAAATTATATGATTTATTTTTTAAATATAAAGGACTATATGTAGGGATTTATAAAGCAGTAAAGGACTATTTATAATGAAAAAACAATTTGTCTTCTCATAGTAAAGAGGGAGATGTTCTGCACAGCACTTTAAAAATTAGGGAGAATAAAAGAAACAGATTATATTGTCTGCTTGTCTAATGTATTTATAATTTTGGAAGAAATGTTTGCTCTCGAAATACTAAATGTGGTTTCTAAAATGATGCATTGTTCATCTGATGGTGTCTTTATGTGTTTCTATTCTATTAGGGAGCTATATTTGTGTTTCTCCTAGAATTGTATCATCTTGATCCACCCAGAATTTGTTTGTGCTCAGTGTTTATCATGGAAAATCCATCCAAATATATAAAGAATAGGAAACTTACTGATATATTCTCACCAGAGTAATTTTCCTGTTTTGTGCTTTTTAATGCCTTTGATTATAACCATTTTCACGTCTACTTTATGTCCCCCTGTCACTGCTGATGAATATATATTTGACATAAAACACTACACTATCACCCCTCCTACCCCTCCCAGTTTTCTAATATTGTATCTTTCTGTTTTATCTTTGCACTCAGGTGGTGTATTGCACCAGTATTGATAATGTCATCAATAAATCATCCTTGTATTTAGAGCTGAGTGAATGATGAAAAAATTTGTCATTTATCGGACAACGTCAAGGTAGAAGTTTTGCTTTAGGGCCAGAATTTTCTCTTCTTCATTAAGACATGAGTAGGCCTAAAATACTGTTTTGGAGGCTTGTTTTAGGGATTTCCACATGAGGGTGAACTTCACCCACGGAGGGAAGTAATCATGAAAAAAATTATGAATAATTACAAAAGAGATAAATTTGAAACTACTACAACTTACTTGCCAACATTTCAGGAACAGGAAAGAGGGTAAAATCTGATTAATGCATTATGCAGTATGAGTTGTTCCTCATCTCTGTGTTTTCCACATAGACCCATGCACAAATTGCAGGAGACATATTCCAGGTAACATCTGTTTCCATGAAAAATTGTATTCTAATTGTGCTGAAGACTGAAAGCAAATCTAAGTAGTCCTAGTGTTGGTTGGTTCCATCATTATATCTCTTCCAGAAGCTTTAGGAATATTTGAGTACTTCAACAGCTCAAGCTTTTCAAAGTATTAATGCTATTCTCTCAGTGTTTGCCTTTCTATTGGAGAATTCTCTTAGCTAGCTTATATATTTTGTGTAGGAGTGGAGAAATGTCTTGAAAAAACAATGACCTCTCCAGGATGCTATGTTGAAGCTTATGCTTTTACAGCTATTGGTATGTTGCCCTGGGTGTATCTGATTACCCAATGCCTGAAACAGCTCCTGGTTTCCTCAGAAACCAGGCCTGGGACTTGGTGATGATAGCTTTCAGACCCAAAGATCCAGGAAAAACAGTCAGTAGACCAGAGATCCCCACTATTTCTGAAAGAGCAAAGATGCCTTTCTTGCTGGAAACTCTTGTTAGCTGGAACATTTTCCCCTCTTCTACAATCACGAGTCTAAACAGACCACTTTTTTTTCCCCCCTGTTCTAATAGTTGTAGGCTTGCTTTGGCCTCTCTCTCTGAGACTGTTAAACTGATCTTCTGTCTCCACCATCTGACCCTGAAAACCATCCATCCTGCCAGAGAGCTGAGGCTCAGAAGCTTTAAGGGTAAATCTTTTATGGTGAACAAGTCCAAGTCAGGTGGTTTTTTCTGCCTCTCAGCTCTGACATCTTGACTGTCTTCCAGTTTTGGCTTTGTTTTCCTCGTGTGCTGTGTGTTTTTATCTCATATTTGTCAGAAGTTTCCTTTGAAGGGGTGTGTTACAGCAATATTAGGGACATTTTCATAGCTGAGCATGCAGAAAACACACTCTTTCACCACCTCAGTCAAGCTTTTTATAAGGTGCTGACTGGTGCCCACATGGGAAAAGGCAGACCCTGTGCTCCTTGGGGTAAGCACTTGGGTAAAAATTTGTTCCAAGAGCTCCCATCTGGTTAAGTTTGGAGCTGATCTCTCCTACAACCTCTCCTCAAGCTGAAAAAGCCCTGCCAAACCAAGCTGGTGTTTTGGAGACACCTAAACTCAGGAAGCAGTGCCTGTTTAATACACATGTATTAAATGCACCCTTATGCAGAGGGAGAGGAGAAAGAGTGAAAAGGAACAAAAGGGGATACTGGAATCTGGAAAAAGTCTGGTTTGTTCGTAAAGCTGTTGCTTCATGATGGACTCCTTTGAAGGGGAATAGCTGGCAACATCCTTCGCCTATAGCTGCTGGTGTTGACACAATCTCCCACTCAGGCCACTGTTGAGTCTACTGAAGTTGGCATGGGCTCCTCAGTCTAATGTTGTTTTAGCTCAAGGCAGTCTTTCAGGCTCCTCTCTGTCCCCAGAAAGCATCAGAGAAGGTCACAAGGCTATCTGCTGGTTTAGTTTTGCTTTGTCTTTTGCAGGGAACCATAAGAGCCCAATCTCAGCTCGCATTGCCATTCCAGGTTTCAGTTTAATAATTTGCATGGTATCAAATGTCTCCAGCTGCCTACGCCAGACTCCTCACCAATCCTAATCCCTCACATCAGGGATATCCAGTCTGTACAGTCCTCCCCATCCCATTACAGACAGCAGAAGATGAGGACTATTAACCTACACTCTGACTACACAATTAGTGGTAGAAAAAGTGAAAAACACCAGGGACGTGAGTGTACCTATCTATGTTGTGCATTAAGCAGTAGCCCTCCTCCAGTGCCAAAGAAGCAATAAAGTACCTTGTGATTTTAAATATTCTTAGGAGTCGGACACATCTCAAAACTGAAATGCCCAGCGGTGACATGATCTTTGTCTCAACCAGGATCGTTTCCAGGATTCCTCCGCACACAATGAAACAGTCAAAGCGGTTGAAGAGGGACACAAAATAGGCCTGGAGACCAAGGCTGTACATCTTCAGCAGCATCTCTGCCGTGAAAAGAGCTAGCAGCACCTTATTGGCAGTGTCTCATGAAAAACAAAAAGGAAGAGATTAAGGAAACTTAGTCAAAAGATCACCACGATTAAGCATCGGCCCTTGCTTCTTAAGAAACCTCTTTGGGGATCAGCCTTAAAAGTTAACTTCATGTAAGCTTGGTTCAAAGAATGAACTTCAAAAGCGTGGGCATCTCATTCACAGAAGTGTTTTACCAGGATAGTTACAGCAATTCTTATGTATTGCACATCCAGTTGCAATGTATTACACAACCACACAACCTGCAGGGGCAGGGACGTGCCCTCCTGTGCACAACCTCCCATCACACTTGTCATCTGCAGGGGAGAGTGGGAACAGAAGAGCTGCTGTGCTACCTACTGTTGCTTAATTAAGCCTTTCAGCTGCTCTCACCTGCAGAGAGAATTCAACTGTTCTGCAGACAGGAGAACTTTACAAATCACTCTTCATCACCTCCCTAATAATTAGAAATTATCATAAATGCCATTTCAGGGAAAACCTTGGAGGACGTATGGCTCTCGGTAGCTATCCATTAATTGGAAATCCAGTTGCAAATATATATTTAGCATAAGTTCCTGGTTTCACTTACACCCTAGGAAACACCGCTTTGGCTGGAAACAAGGCACTTACGTTTTTCCTAAAACTTCTCCCATTGTAGGCAGGGATGTTTATTGTATTATTAAGGATTCTCCACAGCCAGAGGACTGTTGAGACCTGCATATGTTCCTTTTACATTGTGTGCTGTCATGCACCAGCTCCTCTCCCAGCTCCCTTTTTTGATGCTGATCATAATAAACAGATCCATCAGCTTCTCCTCACCTTGGACCTCCGTGAGCCAGTCTGGCTGGTTGTAGTGTTCAGAGGCAATGGTGAGGGTGTTAAGGAACACAAGGAAGATCACCAACCAATAGAAAACATTGGACTTGACAGCAGCACGGCACTTCCTTCTGCAGAATCGATTCCATCGGCGCCAGTAGCGACTTGAAATATTGAAAAAGGAAAAGTTCTTTTCAGATAGGGATCCATAGGCTATTGCAACTCTCTGCCAAGAGAGACTCTAGTCTTGATTTATTGTTCAAGAGCGGTAGAGAATAACTTTAAAGTTCACCCTGAGAAACATTCTCTCATTCTCATCTGAGTCGACAGTTGCGATCATCCTTCCTTTATCTACGGGAATAAAGTTAGTCCTAAACCAATTTGCAACATCTTCAAGCAATACCTTAATCCGATTAAGACATCCACTGCAGATACCCTGAGGGGTTTTTGTGGTGAACTGAGTAGTTCCCACAAAAATAATTATTCTCCTTGTATTTGATGCTTGTAGCCTGCAATGGGAGCTTGCCTAGCCTCAGGATAACCAATGAAAAGATACCCACTATGCCACATGAACCTTCGGATTAAGTCTTTGGAGAGGTGAGGTCAAATAAAATCCATGTAACATTTCCAATATTCAGCAATTTTCAGGAGTAAACCCGGTACAAGGCCTAATTCACAGCAAAAACCCAAAACTTAGGGGACCTCAGCATCTCACCTTGATGCCTGGAATTAAGGGTACCATTTGCTAATCAACAGACTTTTAAAAGTTTGCCTTCCATGAACACATCCCCTTGTGTCACTGATTTCTGAGGATAATTACTAACCACAGAAGATATTTAAAGCTAATTACACACCTCCTACTCCTCAGAATTTAACTTGCATAGCAACCAGTTTCCAGGCAACACTTGCCACTGTATAATAAATCTAATAGTTTTATATAGATAATACATACATACGTGTGAGTGTGTCTCTGAAGGGACATACACATACACAACATTACAGAGAGAAAGAACTTTTCTTGTCTACTCTTCTCTTGTGTATTATTTTGAGGGATAAACTATGGCCCCACTTGAGCTCAGGATTCGGCATCTCTAATGAACTAAAGCCAGGCACCGTGAACACAATGTGAATGAGAATGTTGCAACAGCATTTTAACAGGTAATCAAATCTGGAGTGTTTCATCTGTGCAATTTATAAAGGCACCCAGACCAGCTATCACAAACATTCAGAAAGAGTTGTGTGTTTTGCAGTAGATTTGGGACAAGAAAAGATCTTCCCAACTTCCAAAATAGGCACAACACTTAGACATTAATGTCGTCATTAAACCCTTAGGAATCCCACACACTTTGGTGTGAACTTGTGCACAAATGTGCATGCACATGAAGGTGTATGGTGGTTTCTTGTGCTCACACCTACACTCTTTACACAGGGATGCATAAAGGCAGGATGTCCACATATGTGCATCTCTAAATTTTTATTACTGTTTGTTATTTAAGTAGCTGAAAGACACAGTTACTCGTTAGAGTTATACTAAAAATAAATTTTGTTTTAGGGTTTTTTAAAGTTTATTTTAGGTTTTTATAAAAATGACTTTGAATTCAGGGTTATGGAGGCAGCTAACCTCCTACCAAAAAGGTAGAAATGGACTTTAGCAACCAAGTTCCGTGAGTTCAGTCAGTCTTTCCAATGCAAACCCCCTTGGAACTGCTTCGATTTTTCAAAAGATGTAAAGTCAACAGAAAAACAAACACAACCAGAAAAACTCCCCATGTCCCAGGGTGAAAGGGAGAACTTCACAAATAAAATGCAAACCTCATCAGCTGAAATACTGACAATCAGGTAAAGCAGAGTAGTGCAACAAAGTGTAAGAAAGAGAGCCTTGAGCTGACAGGGTTGATGTTGATGGATGCAGCATAATTATGTGGTTGAACTTTACTTCTGATATTATGTTTTATAGTTCAAGATACATAGGTAGCAATCAGATAGGCACTTCTGAGAGGAATAATGTCAGTAGTCCCTGTGCCTTATTTCAGTATAAAACTAAGAAAAACAATCTAGATTTTTGACTAAATCTAACATGTTTGGCAGTATCTCCCAGAATCAACACTGCATCCTAGAGATGCTGGAGTAAACCACTTCACAAAGTAAGGAACAAATCCAGCAGAAAGGAGAAAACGCAAAAATCAGTTTTACTTACCTAAATTTTGATTTGGAGATCCGGTGCCTGAAAGACAAGAATTGCCATTAAAGTCTCTGAAGCTGTCTCATACCTCCCAGGCTTTTGTGAAAATAGCAACAGAAAGAAACAAAGTTAAGCTGAATTAATTTTTTAATCTATGCTGTTTTCCTCTTGAGTCTGCTGTAAGTCAGTGTAGGCACTGGGTATGGAGGATTCCCTCATACAGAAACTTTGATTTTTGTGGTAGTCACGAAGCAGGAGTCGTGCCATGATGGGATTCTACCACCTATAGATATCAGTGAACTAGCTTTTCTCTTGGACAAAAGGTTGGCCTAATGCTAGGGGGACTCTACTGATGCTAACAAATTAATTTCTCAAGTATCACCCTTTTTTTTTTTTTCTTTTTTTTCTTTTTTTAGTCACTATTTTTTTACTATATTAAAATACATATGACTTGATACAGACAGCTTTCACACATCATCTATCACTTCAGGATATATAAGCACATTATGAAACCATAATAACAGAGAAAATAATGTTTGCTTTTTTTTTTTTTTTCCAGCAATTGAAGGAAAAACAGTGCTTGATGGATATTTTCAAACTTAGATATCAACTCTTATTTGTCTTTGTTATCTATGTAAATTGCTTTGCATTCAAACAGGTCTGTAAAAAAGATTCTGTTGCTATCAATGAAATTTTCAGAATTAAGCACTCCTGAAAATTTGGCTACATTCCCATCTGTCTAAATATACAATTTCATGCATTTAGGTTTATTCATCTAAATAATCTCGTTAACCTTTTATGAGAAGTCACAGGCAAAGCTAGAAATAGACCCCGATACTCTAACCACAACCTTGCTCTGCTTGACACGTGTCCTGTAAGGCCTTTGAACTCTTTGGTTGTCTCTTAGTACGTCCATAATGATGCACAGAAAGAAATGAATGTGTGTGGATACAAAGACATGAGTCAGACATGATTTTGGAAGCTGCAAAATCCACTACCAATACCAGAAGAAACGAGAATATGGGCAGTGACTATGAACAAGATATTTCTGCTGCATTAAAGCATTTCTTAAGGTTCCCCCTATGATGGGAAAGTGATTCATTGTTGACAATAGTCAGCAAAGGTCTTACTGTAGTGCCTTAAAATTGGATTCACTGTTAGTAGACATGGGACAATGTGATTCTGGAAGCATCTAACTTCCTGCAGCAGTCTTAAAAATGGTCAGTCCCTGCTTGAGGACATCAGTTACTGACAAGCAATCAGCGATGGGTCAGGTTCCTTATGTGGAAGAGGTTTCAGTGATAGGAAAATTTCACCAGCAGATGGTCCAAGACAAAAACAACAAACAAGAAGCCTTTGCACTGAATACATCATTCCTGCTGTGTCACAGGCAGCTTGTCTAGGCCACATACTAGGCAGCAGTGTGGTTACAGACACACACAGGGCTCTTGATAGAGAAGAAATAATGCACTGGTGGAACAGAATGCTAAATTATGCTGCACAGACAAAGCAAGCTTTATGACAGATGCCAAGTGAAGCACCTACAAAGCACATCCTTAAAGCTATCCCACTTCTCACTGAGAACTCTGGCTTGATAAGCACTACCTACAAACTGATGGATCAGATTTACAGGCACCAGGAAAGAAGGCTCAGACAAAGACAGGGAAAAGATGAAAAAAAATCACAATGAAGGAGAAAGGTGGGCACCGGAAAGGAGGTGGTAAGGATTTTGATAGGAAAAGTTTGGAGTGGGTGGGAAGAGAGAGAGAGAGAGAGAAAGAGAGAGATGCATTAGCAAACCTGCCTGATGGAAGGGGAAGGACAAGGGAGTGTGAAGTCCTCTGGTGACCTCTCTGGTTAATAGTTTCCAAGTGAGGCAGCTCTGTGGCGTTTTAAGGAATCATTTATTTAAGCAAAAGAGATGCAGCAGGTGTAGTACTCATCATGCATGTGATAATTATATCTTTGGAGCATTATGAGCAGCAGCCAAGTGCATTCAGTGCTCCCACAGGTTAGCTACAGCCTTCGATCCCCCCCCCCCCTCCAACCCTCCACCTTTCTTTGCTGCTATGGCAGAAGGCTTTATCACATGTGGGTGTGCTGTATATATAGAACAGGACAAGGAAGGAGGATCAGATTTATATTTAGAGGTAGAATCCGAGAGTGAAGTGGAATTCTGGAAACAAACTGTATAATAACTGATCCCAAAAACATTATGCACGAATCTGAAACACGTCTTTCAAATGACTGTTATGATCAAGATTGTTTATCAGAACTACGGAGACCAGTGCCCTATAAAAAAATGCTTTTATGGCATCACTAGGGGCTGTCAAATAGTCTCGATTTGGGGCTTTGCCATGGCTTCTTTGTGACACTCCAAACTGGCACTTGGCAGGAGTTTAGGGTGGACCAGATTTTCTGCTGAGTTTAAACATGGATCTCTTGCATCCCTGGTGTTCTGGGAGCTTTATGTCATTGGGAGAAAGAGAGTGTCTCCATTTGTGTCAAACTATGGAATGTCTTGAGAAATTATTGTTTAAAATCATGGTATAGTAGCCTATATGAAAATCACTTCAAATCACACTGAGTGTGGAGCCACATAACTCAGATTGTCTTTTAGAAGGACAAACACAGAAATCAGATCTCTACTGTGTGGCAAGCTATCTTTAAAATTCCCTAAAACTCTTCTAGCCTTACACAGTGATGTACTACACACAGATAAGACACTGAAATTCAAAGGTTTCTTAATCAACATAAACCTCTGGATAATCTGCATAACTCAAATGTAGTGAGATATCCCACATTCTGAGAGATAAGAGTCTTCATTTCCATGTTTGTGGTGGACACCAGAGAAGGCACTTGTGAAGGATGTGACACTTTTGTATAACAGGGATTGAGGACTGTGTAATTGTACACACAACAAACAATTCTTGAAAAATCTCGTAGGTCACCAAGCATGACAAAAAGACCATGTTACAGCTTTTTTTCTGGGTGTGGGTGTTACTAAACATGGCCATAAAATTATCTGACATGCTGGTCACAGCTACTTTTATATCATATGATTCCACTCAAAGGCAACTACCTTCATGAGGATTCACTAGCAAAAGCTCACAGAAAAGCAGTAACACAGAAATGGACTTTACTGTGCCTCTGGGCTATACTCAACTTTGGGGAACATTCAAAGAGCTTCACTAAAATCTTACAGATTTTAAAACTGTAAGAACACGGTCCTGGTGTGACATTGGTTTTGTTTCGGTGCAATATGGTGCATTCATGCAGTTACGGGTCAAGCAGCACAACATGTTTCCCTCTCTCTATTCCTGCTGATGACATTTCTTTGCTTCTAGACAGGATGCTGGCATTTCTGAAGAGAAGGTGTCCACCCTAAGGTCCTTTTTTCACACATTACTGGGATAAAAGCATACAATGATACAAGATAATCAGGAATGTAATGTGCAGGCATGGAGTCTGCAGCCTAATTAAGTGTTAGGGCTGAGTTCTGCCCTCAGCTGAGTTTCTGCAATTCACAAAAAAAGCAATGGGCCTCCATCCTGCCCCTGTACAACACAATTAACACTGGGGAGCTGTACAGGAACTTGCAATGACCATTTCTCATTTCTGACCATTAATTAAAAGCTTTCAGCAAAACAGAAGAGATGACCAGCCCTGGAGAACTTGCATTAAGCAGAGAACTCACAATGATTCCTCTTTTTCCTTTTTTTTAAAACACTCTGGCCCTCCTTGCAGAAGCACTGGATGAAGAATGCTGACCTGATGAGAGCCACGCTGGTTTAAAGAGGCGGTTGTTGGCCTGCTGGTTTGAAGAGGTGGTCGTTGGCCAGCAGAAGTAAGAACCTACAGAACATCCTTAAGAAAATTGGATCTGTCTAGCCTAAAACTGAGATGATTTGCTATTCAACAGGCTTTCTTAAAGTCTGGGAAAATAGGCTAGCACTTCAGTATTCCCTAAATAATGTTGCTCTCCCTGTGGCAAGTCACAGGCAAGTCCTGGCACAGAGTCGGAAGGAGGAAGATAACTCCTCTTCCACAAGGGCATGCTATTGTCCTTTAGACACAGACCTAGAGCTCACTGTGAATATTAAAAGCACCTTGCTCATAATAAATTGGAGAGCAGTAGCTGAGACTGACACATACGGGCTGATCCCGTATGTTTTCCCGCTGAAACCAGCAGTGGTTTCACAGTTTTTGGCAGACTTTTCTTACCACTGTTCCTGATGTGATGGGACCAAAGTCCCCATCACATCACAAAGAGTCTGTCTTCTGTATGAGAGAAAACCAGCAGCAAGTACAGCAAACCTGCAAGCAAACAGACCCTTCTGCCTTTACCACTGGCCCCTATGCTGATGATGGCAAGAACTGCACAGGAATTATTTTCCCAGCCAGAAACGCACAAAGGGAAAAATCCCTGACCATTCAGCTGCCAGGGAAAGCTTCCATTGATCATAATATTTTCAGGACACACTGTTTTCAGTTGGAAAGCCAGTGTAGGTTGCTCATTTTGGTTTATCCTTTTTTATTGTTTGAGCTACATTTGGTGGAAAAGCAGTTGAACTGTCCCCCAAATGTATGGAAATCCTGGCCAAGGTGAAAATGCCAAGTGGCTTATTGTTTCAGTGAAAGCAGATAATTTTAAGCCCTCTTTCCCTTTGAGCTCAAGTGCTTCACTTTTCTATTGAAGCTCTATGGAACATTAGTTTTCACAAAGGTCTTTTTTTTAATCTAATACATATGTATAAAAGCAAGCTCTATTGTGGCACACTCCAGATCTGTATGGTTGTATTAGAAAATTAACATTCTGCTTGTATTGGAAGATTATATGTGCTGACACCCTGCACAGAACAGATTACTCCTGATTATGAGCAATAGCCTGTCCTCAGGAATCTAAGCCCTGCACAGCAGTAACCACAGAGGTTCAGGGAAATTACTGGCTATTGGGAAGCCCTGGATGGAAGGATATCCTGTAAATAGAAACCCATTGCTCCTAGCTCCGGGTTTATCCCACTGATGCCTGCTGCAGAGGA